AGGGAGGGGGAAAATGAGGAACTGATACCAAGGGCTCAAGTAGAAAGCAAATGTTTTGAGAATGATGATGGCATCAAATGTACACATGTGCTTGACACAATGGATGGATGTACGAATTGTGATAAGAGTTGTACAAGCCCCGGATAAAATGATTTTTATTTTTTTAATGAAAAGGTCAAACGTCTTTGGTGTGAAACATACCTTTGCAGATGTGATGCAATCTCGCATGGTTTAGTGTGTAGGACTGAAGGGACTGGAATCAGTCATCATATCCCTAAATATTAACTTCCTGTTCTTTTCACGTTTATCTCCTTGGTCAGCAACTTGAAGGAGATCCCTAGCAGCCCAATTACCTTGCCTAGAGCAAGCCCTGCTGACCCAACAGTGGCTGCTAACAGAAAGGTCTGTGGTTGGAATCCCCCAGACACTCTGTGGGACAAAAACCTAGTGGTGTGCTCCCCACGAAAGGGAGTCAAACCCCATGGGGGCAGTTCTACTTGGTCCTGTAAGGCCACTATGCGTCTGACCACAGCGAGGAGTTAGTCTGTGAAAACCCATCACTCCAAGTAAACACCTTAGAAATATTTAATATGTGTAGAAAGGCTTGGAGACTGGTGTATTCATCAATAAACCAGGTTGGAAACACGTGTGCCACAATTCCTTTGGAAGGTGGCAGTGATGAAGCAGCCGCCTTCTGTTTACATTTGGAAGAGGGGTGGAAAGTGGATTGAAGGGCCTGGCCTCTGGGAAACCGGTCCTTTTGACCAATTTTAACCTATGACTGCTGGACAGCTTTTCCTCTGCACTGTTCTTAGCAGTTGATGTCTACCCTATCCTAGTCAAGGCTTGGATGGATGGCACAGATCGCTAAAGATTTCACTACATACTAGACTGAGCGGTAGTAAACCATGGATCAGACCAGACTGAAATTGGTTCCTGTTCAGGATCAAATTATTAAAGTCTCCTTTAATGCAAATGCGCATGCAACTCCTCAGGGGAACTTCAGACTTCAGGGAATGGAAATATCCCAGTGCCAAGAGATACAGCATTTTACAAAGCCCGCACTCCGGTCAACAAACCAGTCTTCGGACTTTCTACATGCAATGCTGTGCCATTTGCAACAGTTCAGCATTTCAATAAAACACAGCACCTTCAGTTTTGAAGCATAAAAGGCTGAATCCACAAGAGGAAGGAAGCATGCCAGTGTTTTCCTACATTGATTCTGAAAATTTGCTGAAGATCCTCGAATGGTGAATGTTGATCTCATCACTCTTTCTTTTTTTTTTTCACTCTTTCTTTATACATTTTTTTTTAGCCAAAGATGGGCCCAAGTTGCCTGTTCCAGGCTATCATTGAAGTCAGCAAGTAAATCTTGCTTTTAATGTGTAAACTTTGAAAAGCCATGCGTCTGCTTCCTCAGAGAAGTCTCTCTATTATAATGTATTTAATAATTATGTACCAGTAATGGCTCAATTTGCTCTCCTCCAATAACCCAACTAATTTAATTAACCACACTCGAAACTGGGAAACCAGGTTTAGCTTTTACCGTGAGGAACCAACCTACCGTGCTTACTTAGAGTGACTGACTATTCCCACCACCAAATCCAGGACTTCGATAGCAGCGATCGAGACTACTCTGTCTTTCTTTGGTTTGGTTTTTTGTTGTTGTTTTTTTAACCAATCTGCAGGCGTGGATTTAATGGTACAACTTAATTCAGTAGATCGCTTCCAAATGACTGGTCCTTCATACCTGTAGCATTGAATCTGAGAATTTGAATACCTAATGTTTATCTTTGGCTATACCATGTTCGTTATCATCTCAAAAACTGTTGGTTGCTACTTGTCTCCCATGTGAACAGTCATTCTTTTAAAAGCTGAACCTGAAAGAGATGTCACTCAGTAATTTGCCCAAAGATTGTCTTCTTACTTTAAATCCTACTTTGTTTTACCTTTAAGGTCTAGGAGTGCTTTATATTGAGGATACCAAGTTAATGATTGTTGAAATTGTGGTACCATGACATTGAGAAAGAAAATTGTGTGAGTACATCTAAGATTAACGGGGCTAACTCCAAGTCCCTCAATGTTGGACATCTAAGTGTGGGGTCGTGTACCTGTCCTGACATCAAAAGTTCTTCTGTGAACAAACTCTAAAGGACAATATATTATTTTCATAGTAAAATAAAAGGATGCTCACCACAGAACAGTACCTGAGATATGACTATAAGCTAATACTCATATTCTTTTGAAGGGCGCAATGAAATTGTCTTCATTTCCTGAAATAAACTTAGAGTATAATCAATTGGAAAGGTGGCATATACACTGGTTGAGAAAAACAAGCCAAAACTCTTATTTTCCTAATTATTTGGATCATCTTGACAAAACTGCATTGCCTTTACCCAAATGCTGACTTCAGACTCACGCTGGCCAATTCTCTGGTGTCTCATTGTTTTCAAGTTGGCCCCATCAGTTTAGACTATTTCAGCAAAAGAAAGAACAACGGGAAATCATTTTTATTTTTGAATTTTATTTAGGGGACTCAAAAAAGTACTTCTAAATGATGGTTAAAAAAACATAACAAAAGTTTTGTTTGTTTCTACTCCATCGTGTGGTGATTTGCCATTCTACATGCAGTTTATGGTTCAGCGATATCAGCTAGTATCTCCATCACTTGTTGCAGTTTGCTGAATTTGGTACAAGAATATGTGAACTGGCTTTTTCTAGAGGGGTGAGGGCACTTTTCAATCGCCTGCTGAGAACTACTCAGACCCCGCAAATAGTCATGTTCATCCCCTCCTTGTGATCCACCCCACGGGCCACACGGGTCACGGCTGGCTGGGATAGTCCGATTTGGGGAGGAGTATTTTTGTTTGTTTCCTGCAAATCTCACCCTTGCCCTCACAGGAACCACATTCTCGTCAACAGAACTACAAACACCAAGCCCTTAAGAAAAGCAGCAAGAAGGATTTTCACTTGTCATAGTTCCTAAGTGAGATTTAGGCTTTGGGGGAATATTCCATGAAAAGAAACAGAAGCATAAATGAGAAATGTGAAGGGTTTTAGTTCAGTGGAAGGAGAAAACTCACCATTGCATTCCATTTGTTCCGTGGAGAACAGCATTGGTGGGAAGGAAGCAAGGTCGTGTTTAGGTTCTGAGATGGGTCCTAACTGTTGAAACCACCATGGAGATAAAAACTGGCCTGAACTATAACTGCCAGTGTGCCTGGAAGATTTAAAAAGTGAGTCGTCCCGGGTTTGAGGGCCTGGCTCTGTGCGCTGTCAAATGCATTCCCTGGCGCCTTGATGAGGCTGTGGGAATGTGAAGCCACACTCCGTCCCACTCACCAGAGGACGGAAATCCAACTACGTGCATGCTTATTTTGAGGCCTGCCCTGATTCAATGCCCAAATACTGGAATTCAGCTTAGATGAACCTGCATTGGAAATGCTTTCTCCATCCTTGTTCACAACTTACCCCAAACAAAGAAGCGATCAGCATAGAATGGGAGGGGAGGGGTGAGGGGCTATTGCCTGTCAAGACTGCAAGTAAAACCCGTAATGTAGAACAACTTTTTCTCAACCCTACAAGATTTTTTTTAAACTACTTAGTAATAAAAGCGCCCCCCCCCTTTTTGCATGATAGGAGTGTGTGCATGTGTGTATACATGTATACACACATACACACACGTATACACACACACACCCCAGTAAGGAGTCCTGGTGGTTCAACCAGGTCAGCACTGGGCTGCTAGCCACAAGGTTGGCCGTTCAAACCCATCAGCTGCTCTGAGGGAGAAAGATGAGGCTAACCTCCCTGTACAGATTCACAGCCTTGGAAACCGCATACAAAGTAGCTACGTGTCAGAAATGACTTGATGGGAGCAGGTAGGTATGAGGCAATAACTGAAAAAAAGGACAAACATAGCTATATCGATCTTAAAAGGAAAAGTAAATAAATCTACTCCAGGTCTGAGAGACTATAAGCACACCTGAAGTTCTTCGTAACAAGACGGGATGGAAATAAGAAGCGGAAGAGCAGCAGGCTAGCGGCCGAAATGGACTCAACAGTGCTTAAAGGAGTAGAGGCGATGGGAGCGGGGACACCGAATTCGGAGGGTCGTTTTCACGTCAGCCCCTTGGAACTGCATCCCAAACAGGGAAAGCCAATCCAGAAACTCCCTCCTGCTCACTGTCATTGCCAAAACGTGTCTAAGGAATGGCAGGATGCCTTGCCCGGGATCAGCCGGACCTGGGGACCAGGAGCCTGTACGGGGGACAGTCTGGCAGAGCCGTGGCCGCTGAGCTGTTGGCTTTCAAGTTCAGCGATGCCACGGGTGCCTGAGCAGAGACCAGGCCCCTGGACTGTGGATGCTGTTGGTTAAAAATGCAACCGGTGGCATTTGTAGCACTTCTGACACTTAAAAAAGTAAAACGTCACCCCTCTGCTCCCAACCCCACCCACTGTCGGAAAGGAAAATTGCATTAAGCCTTCCCCACCCCTCGCCCCCCCACCCCAGGATTCTGCAGCGCAATTAAATACAATCCAATGAAAACGCAACAGATGGCCTCGTCTTTGATACGGATTATCTCAAGGGACCCGGGATAGGACGTTGAATGTTGCCATACACTGAAATGGGCTGGACTTGGTCTGGGGGTTCAGTCTCTCCACACCAACGGTCCTTTCGGGGGGGTTGTTCCTCCAGGAGTGGTCCCATGCTACCCCTCCATGAGTGTGCTGGGCAGCAGCAGGGGGATGCTTTGGGGAAGCTACTGGTTCGTGCCATTTGCTTCCAGAATCACATAGACTATGACACGCGTGAACGTTAAACACTGCTTCGTCCTGAGATGGGTGGCAGCCCATTGAGGAGGAGGCTGAGTTCCTTCGGAGCTCATCCCTCCTAGCGTGGTGTCATACTCGGCCTTCTTCCGGTTTTTCTTCCTCCATCGCTTGGCTTTCCATTGTTTTTTCATTGGTGACCCCTTCTGACAGCTTCTTGACCATGGCTTTACTGGCTTCTTCCTGAGGAAGGATTGAAAAATCAAGGGAGTAAAAGAGGTTAAAGGTGAAAGAGTAAGATGTTCAAGGAATTCCCAGCTCCTGTTGCACGTTGACCAAGTATAAGAGAGGGCATTCTATCCTATCCTTGTGAATGAGGGGAGTACGAGGTGGGGACCCAAAGCCCATCTGTAAACAACTGACCATCCCCTTACGGAAAGGTCTCGCAGAGGAGAAGAGCCAGTCAGGGTGCCGTGTAGCAAAGATGAAACATACAACTTTCCTCTAGTTCCTAAATGCTTCCTCCCCCACTATCATGATCCCAATTCTACCTTACAAATCTGGCTAGACCACAGGATGTACACTGGTACAGATAGGAACTGGAAACACAGGGAATCCAGGACAGATGATCCCTTCAGGACCAGTGGTGTGAGTGGCGATACCGGGAGGGTAGAGGGAGGGTAGGGTGGAAAGGGGGAACCGATTACAAGTATTTACATATAACCTCCTCCCTGGGGGATGGACAACAGAAAAGTGGGTGAAGGGAGACATCAGACAGTGTAATATAAGATACAATAATTTATAAATTATCAAGGGTTCATGAGGGAGGGAGGAGCTGGAGGGAGGGGGGAAAATGAGGAGCTGATGCTAGGGGCTTAAATGGAGAGCAAATGTTTTGAGAATGATGAGGGCAATGAATGTACAAATGTGCTTTACACAATTGATGTATGTATGGATTGTGATAGGAGTTGTATGAGCCCCTAATAAACTGATTTTTAAAAAAGAGAGAGAGGGCATTCTAATGACTTTACGTAGGTTTGTCCCCTTTGGGTGAACCAGAGCTGTGCTAAGGAGCCTGGGTGGCATACAGATATGCATTGATCTGCTTACTGCAATGTCAGCAGTTCAAAACCACCAGCCACTCCAAAGGAAAAACATGGGGCTGGCTTTCTATTCCCCAAAACAGTTATAGTCTCGGAAACTCACGGGGGATGTTCTGCCCTGTCTTGTACGGTCACTATGCATCAGCATCAACTCGATGATGTATGTGAGTGAGTGAGTGAGTGAGTGAGTGGTGAACAAAGGGGCGGGCACATTTCCCTGGTTACCATAACTGCCTTGCAGCTAATATTCAAGGCCTAGAGACAGAGTCAAGGAAGTCCTCCGGCCGGGTCTAAAGCTATGCTGAAAGGAAGGCTGCCTTCTCCCCACACAGCCCTCTCCTCCCACATTTGTCCGGCTGGCCTTCAATCCTCCAGGCAAAGGGCATGGGGCAGGGGCCTCCCCATCCTGGCCATTTCCTGGTAAAATCGGAAGACTCAACAAAGAAGTATTAGCTAAGAGAGGGTGGGGCAACCAAAACAAAACATGACCTTGAGTGTTCACAATGACAAAGGCTTCAAGAACTCACTGTCTCCTTAGTCTGTTGAAGGACATGCCCGGGCGTCGGGCATCGCCAGCTTCAACCTCTGGGTCCAAACCTGCTTCAGATGGGAGCTCCTTTTCCCCCCGGTCTCATGCCTCTAGGGTGGTCCTCCCCGGCCCTCTGCCGCCTCTGAGACTTTACAGACTAGCTAGCCCAGGGGTCTACCTGAAGGCAGCGGGTCCTGCACACACCTTTGCATCCCGCTCTGCGAACTTCTTGAACATGTTGGCATAAATCCGGCGGTCTCGCTCATTGTGCTCCTTCGCCTTCTTCTGGCACATGGAGATCTGGAGCCTTGCGGCTTTATTCTGGGGGTTCACCTCCAGCACCTTCTCAAAGTCCCCCTTGGCGGACTCGAACTCATTCATAAGCAGCTGGGCTTCCCCCCTCCGGTACAAGCCCTTCTCGTTGGCACTGTCCAGCCCAAGAGCCTGTGAATACGAAGAGAGGGGTCCTCTTTTAGGAAGCATGAGGGTCACTGTTCTTACCTGTGGGGATTTTGAGAGGGAAGTAGCTTCTTTTCTTCCCAAACAACTTACCAAAGTGCTTTGCCCAAGGGACTCAGAAGAGACATCAGTCAAAGATGGTGCTGGAATCAGTATGCACTTCTTATCGGAGTACAATAAACACTCAAATTGATTGCGGTATGGAATATGATTTCTATAAAGGTTTCCAGGGGACTTGGGAAGGGGGGCTCTTGAGGGGCTCATTTTATGGTTTATCAGAAGTAAGTGTCCAAGGGGGGTTGAGAAAATTTGGGGAGGACGAAAGGAAAACAATGAGTGATTAATTTCCTCATGGACAAAACATGCTACAGAACGAATAAAATTAAAGCTGTGTGATCCGGGGCGCACGAACTAACAGGACATTGTAACCGAGCAAAGATTTCAGAAGCACAGCCTATCACAGTATGCGTGTAAATACCGCTAGTGAAGACAACGGCGATCATGTATAGTCATAGGAAAACTTTATACGTGGTGATAACGTGTATTCCTAGAGAAAGGATTAACTGTATAGGAACTGGGGTCCAAATGGCAGCCATTTGCATAAAATTAAACAAAACAAAAACTAAACTCACTGCCACTGACTCAACACTGACCCATAGTGACCCCCTCGCCCCGAGACACCTGCGGGTTCCGAGACCGTGACTCTTTATGGGAGTAGAAAGCCTCACCTTCCTCTTGAGGCCCAGCTGCTGACCTTGAGGTTAGCAGCCCAACTTGTAGCCACTACGCAACAAACAGGAGACGTAAAGCCCTACTGTATCTCATACGCACGAAATAAGTTCTTCACGGATTGAATTGGTATGGATCAATGTACATATCTACATCGATGTGTAGAAAATCAATGTACATATCTACATCGATGTGTAGAAAATCAATGTACATATCTACATCGGTGTGTGGAACCTCATGGGCAGGTCACTCGGAGTGGAATCGACTCAAGGACACACCGCAGCACCAGCATGGCAGGGACGGCAGATCCAGTCACATACACCATAGAACTCCCACGCTAGACAAAGACCCCGTCCGTCCGTGGAGCTGAAAGCCAAAGGAGAGCAGAACCCCTAACTGCCAGACAAAGGGCCAACAAGGGCCAAGACTATCAACCAAGAAGGAACACATGATCTTAACGGGAAGGTGAGAGGACAATATTCCCCACAAAAGAAACAGGACAATGTTCCTCACAGAAGAAATAACATTGACAACAAGGCACATAAGCACAGATAATACTCAAGAATAGCATATAATCCGTTCATGTCTTTTGACCCAATTTTTACACTTCTAGAAATGTATCCTATAGGAATAACCTCACCAGTGCGCAAGGCTGGTTCAGTATAACTGGGAATTCCAAAACCTTGAAAATGTACCACTGGGGGTGATGGAAATATACCATGGGTACTAAACGGTTTTCTCAAAGAAGGAGTGTGCTTTATGGATTGATCTGGTGTGAAAAGCTCTCCTACTTTTAGAAAGCTCGAGCCATTTCAATCTGCTACACAAGACCCTTTGTAGGGTACTGGAAAGCAAGGGCGTTACTTTGAGGACTGAGGGGTGCCTGCCCCAAGGGGTGGCATTGCCAATTGCTTCATCTGCATGGAAGGTGGACGTTGAACGAGGAAGACGCAAGAAGAGCCGATGCATTTGAATTATGGTGCTGGCAAAGAATACTGCAAGTACCATGGACTGTCTTGTTTGTCCAGAGTGCTCCTTAGAGACAAGGATGGTGAGACTCCATCCTATACTCTTTGGACAGGTTGTCAGTAGAGACCAGTCCCTGGAGGACGTCATGCTTGATAAATTGGAGAGGCAGCGAAAGAGGAAGGCCCTCAATGAGATGGACGGGCACGGTGGCTGCCATAGTGGACTCGGCACAGGAGCATGTGAGAGGATGGCTCAGGGCTGGGCAGGACTTCGTCCTGTTATGCATGGGGACCCTGTGGGTCAGAAGTGACTCTATGGCACTTAATAACGACATCCATTGGAATCTATATAAAAGTCTGTAGATTGTCATCTACAATTGTATCCCCATAAATCTACTCTGCACGGGAAAACCAGAAGGAACGAGAACGTGTATAAAGTGAACGACCAGACTCGGGAGAGAGGCCAACAGGATTTCCAGTGGATGGAAAGCCACTACTGGGATATTTCTGTAATATGTGACTTTTAATTCTACATTGCTTCTATAACAGTAAAAAGAAATATAAAATGAAAAAATGTAGTTAATAGTAGCATCCCTTTCTCAGGCAAATTTTTAGTGGCACAATGAAAAACATATTGATTCCCTGAACTCAAAATAACCTTGTCAGGGCAATATGAATCAGACATGCCGTTGCTTCTTGTACTATTTTTCTAAATCCCTTTATGTCTGTCTTTCAGCTATGTTCAATAATTAGCTTTTACCCAAATGGAATACACACTATTCCCTTTGAGACTAACGACCTAGAGTAATAATAGTCAGCATCGGTGGCATACAGAAGTATCAGAATAGTGCCTATTATAAACCACTGTCATGAAGACCCTAACGAGAGACCAGTAGCAGTATTCATAATATGTTTGTGAACATTAATAGATAATAGTATGTTAAGGTATTGTGAGCATGGGGAGAGCTGCTGATGTTTCCTGGGCATTTCTGTGTATTTTTGATCAGTGAATAATAAAAGATGAATTGTATAGCCGTGTTTCCCAAAGAGGGTGGGGGCACTGGGACTGTCCCAGGGGGCTGCAAAAGCAGATACCAACCCATTATCCTGGATTACCGACCACAGTACAAACGTCTGTAATTGCCAGGGGTGCTGAGTAGTTTTGGTTTTGTTTTGTTCTGACAAGGAGGTAGTCAGGCAAAAAAGTTTGGGAACCCATGGAATAAATAGTGTGTGGGAGTATTTGCAGCTGATTATATTAAACCTCTGAAAGGCTCAAAAGTTAAATCTGTTCTTATGAAACCAAACCGAAGGAGTTATATGTCAAATCTGATTCCAAAAGTCACAGGTTTAAGAAAGGCACATGATAAGCCCCATTCCATTTCAAAGTTCATAATCGAGTATAAGTAATCCAGCCACTGACTAAAATAAAAAAAAAAACGTTTTGAATATTCCAATTTACATTGAGAAATAAACAATCCCAAGCATACATGTAAATAAAACAGCGAAAGGAAAAACTGGCACCCCTTAGCTGAGAAGAAGCAAAAGGTCCCCCGGACCATCTCCCGTTGACAGCCCAGGCCACACTCTCACCTTGTCACAGCACTCCACAGCTTTGCTGTACTCTCTAAGCTTCAGGTAGCACATGGCCAGGTTCAGAAAGGCGGCGAGCAGAAACGATTCCGAAGCCTTCAATTCTTTTTCTGATAAACCATACTCCATCTCTAGCCAAGACACTATCTTCCCATACTGAATAACCGCCTGGGTGTACTTGCCTCCCTAGGAGAAAAACACCGAGAGTTATTTGTTGCACTAAGCTCTGTAGACGAACGCAGAAGCAAAAAGTCCTAGCTCGCCCAAGGCCTCAAAATACAACCCTCCCCTCCTACCAGCTGTGGTGCTTGCTCACGCCTTTCTGTTCCCAGAAGATGGTCCCTGCGGTATTCTTGGCCATCCTTTGTGCAGTCCTTCTCTGTTCTAGAGGGTCACTAGGAATCAGCCTTGACCTGATGGCGGTGAGGGTGACCTACAAGCTAGGCGGGGACATACATACACTAGGACAGTGCGGTTTGCCAGCATTTACCATTGCATGCCTTTCAAGAGGCGGCAACTCTTTCAGCAAGAGGACACCGATGCTTCCACACTGTGTGGGTGCTCATGGTCATCGCCCTTTCAAAAGAATGGCAAGCAGTTTGTCGTGTGGCCAGTCAACTTGAAGAGGAAGTTGCTTTCCCTTGACTGATAGGTCAAGGAAATTCTCCTTTCCCTGACATTCTGTGCCGTGTGGTAGAGCACACCTTCGGAAAAGTGCCCCTTCCAAACAAGAAACCCAGTTACCTAAGGGAGGAGTAGGCAGTTGTTTTAGGTAAAGGGAAAGTACTAAATATTTTAGGCTTCAACGATCAGTCTCTGCGCCGGAAACTGGTCCCCCGTGGCACAAGCGCAAATAACCACCAATACAAACTCGTTACCAACGAGTCGCTTCCAGCTCCTAGTGACCCTGCCGGGCACAGACTAGAATTAGCCCATGGGCTTCTGGACTAAATCTTCCCAGGAGCAGTCAGTCTCATTTCATTCCTGAGGAGAAGTGGCTAGTGGCTTCTAACCCACGACACAGCCCTGGGAGGGAACCGGGATGATGAACTCGGTGCTGACGACGTTCTCTAAACGACAACACCTAGCGGCACGTCACGGAGGACTTGGTCCAAATCTTAACAGAGGCTGGCTTCAGCAAGGGTGGTCAGAAACTGGTCAGCCTGGTTCAGCTGCCATCACCTCGGTGGCTCTTTTAGGGGATTTAAGGGTACGTTACCTATTTTCAACCAATACCCCTTTTTTCAGCAACACAAACGGCAATGATTCTCGTGGGTTTCTCCAGATGGAATGCACAGAAATCAAATTGACTACAGTGGCCTAGTGAGTAATTCGTTGGGCTGCTAACCACAAGGACAGCAGTTCAAGACCACTAGATACTCCTTGGAAGAAAAATAAGGCTTTCTGTTCCCAGAGAGTTAATGTTCACCTTCCCGACACAACCGCTGAAGACAAAGCGGGTGAATAAGCAAATGTGGTGAAGAAAGCTGATGGTGCCCGGCTATCAAATGATATAGCGTCTGGGGTCTTAAAAGCTTGAAGGTAAACAAGCGGCCATCTAGCTCAGAAGCAACAAAGCCCACATGGAAGAAGCACACCAGCCTA